AGGACTTTAACAACAGCCTGATAAATGTTTGAAGAAAGTAGCAAGTCCCTCTGCACTCCTCACAGCGCTCCCGGCCCAAGTACTTGTAGTGGTGCTCGCAGTGACAATCACAGATGGCACCGTGCAACAAACATAATGATAAATGTTTGACTCTAAGCCTGGGACATTTGGTCAGAGACAAGGGTATTGAGAAAAAAAACATTGATTTAATGTGTAAAACAGCCACACAGCATGCAGGATGTTAAATTGCAGTTCTACACATTGGATCATTGCTGTATTTTTCACAAAAGACTAACTGGCAGTTTGGATTTTTTTTTAATCTAAAGCCATCAGTGTACAGGTTGTCATTCTTCTTTATTCTGTAGCAGGCTAATACTCTTCAAGTGAATTAAAACCCCATTTATATTTTATTTGTAGTTCACATCACTGGGTAGGTATGTGTTACACATCTGTAAGTCATCTAAGAAAAACCTGGACGTAAGTATTTAAAATGAGAAGACATTTAGAACATACCTTGAATGGTCTGAATAGTAAGTACAGCTCCCGGGGTTTGATATCTAAGGGTAATCCACTTACAAATAGCGTCCTTACCTAAAAAAACAAAAAAGAAAAACTTAATGAAGCAACTAATATATATACTCATTGTTTAGGATTATTGGAATTATTGATATTCAAGAGAATAAAAATTTTAATATATTCATAAATTAAACATAATATAGTGCTTTTCGGACAACGAAAACCAAAATCTTATACGAGAAAGTATATTACCATTTTACAACTAGAAATTCTGCGGTCTGCTGCCTTTTAAAAAAAATCTTGCTGTGTGACAGTACAATGAAATTTGAAGTAATTTCTTTTTAAATCAAAGAGTGTTTATGTAGACTAGTACAGTTCAGTTCTGATCATATTTATTGGCATACAGGAGATCAGGGAAACCTAGAAAGTTATCCTACCTAAAGTATATTTCCACTTTTATAGCCAAATTGGGATAATGCCTATTATATTTGTTACATGTTCCCATTTACACATCATAAACTGAAAAAATATTGAAAAAAAATGCTTCTTGCAGTTTAAATTGCTTTTGCTAGCATTAGGGTTTATTGGCTTCTAAAACAAGAACTCCAGAGAACTGCTCATTTTGGTCTAGGGAGGAAAATATCAAAGTTATGCTCAACCAATCCAAAGCCGGCCTTCTGAAACATAGCTCCCTCCTGCCTGCCTCTTCCTACGCTGCAGCCAGTCCTCACGTTCTATACACTGTGATATTTTACGGGAACTTAGACTGCTGCAGCAGAGGGGGAGAGAGGCTCCAGAGAGAAAGAGCAAGCTGGCTCAGAGGATCAGGTGAGTATAACTTTGTTATTTTTCTCTCTAGACAAATTAGCCACTGAAAGGGTTAATAATTTTACCTGACATTTTTTGTTAAGGGTCAAAATTTCTTCTTGCCTCTCCTTCTTTGCAATGTTAGGAGGGGCTGTATGGGGTTAAAGGATTACAACCCTAGCTTCCCCATTGTATGTTAACAAAGTTAGGATCAGATCACTGTGAAGGTACTCAGAAAACCCTGGATTCAGCCATGTTGCCTGCTGCAACAAAACATCTCAAAATATTTGTTTTAAGTTATTTTATGGTATGCTGTGTGAATAGAAACACATAACAAACCTATAGAGTGGTTTTCTCAAATTTGACAGCGAAAGTGGAAATACACTTTAAAGTCTCAAAATAATAAAACAAAAAGTCTGCGTTGCCCATTGTAGCTCAATAGTTTATTCTATTAATTTTTAGGGCAAAAAAGGGATAAGCCGATAGAGGAAACAAAGCAAATTCTTCTTTTCAACACTGTCAGTCATGATGTTTTAGGTGGTGAGGTAAAAAAACATCTGTCTAGCTGTAAAATGCTTCTGGAAACAGTTAAAAAGTACCAAACTTTTTTCTGCAGTCTACACTTTCTTAGGAAGTATATAAGATATACAAATTATTATCAGAAGCAACAGAAGCGATTTCAACATTTCACAAGGAAAATTCTATTTTTACAAATTGTTTGTATCCACACGGAATAAAGCAAACAAACCAGTGCATACTAAAGTGGACTAGAATAGATGAAAATGGTAATCTAGCAAGTCAGAGGAAAAAAAGCTGTTTACTTCCCTACCTCCCGAAAAGTAGGCACACAGCCTTTTGGTTTGCAGAATGATGACATATTTTCTAGGGCTTAGACTGAATCAAGCTTGCTCAAAGTCTGGCAAAGAAAAGTTAAGCCTGATGAAGATAACAGCGTCAACCACTGCAAATTCAATACACATCACGGAAGAAAACATCTACCTAATGTTCTGCATTGTAGCTTGGACACTGACCTGTTCTAACCACCATCATTCCACTGTCAAAGTCTCTTCCCTTTCTATTCAATTCAGGAAGCAGCAATTTAGATGAATAAACAGCTGCTTCGCCGTAGGTGTATGCTGAAGGTGTACCATGACTAAAGTAAAAACAGCTTCCTTCCCCTCCCTTCTACCATGAAGCAACCTGGAGTGTGAAAGGAAAGCAGTGTAGCCTCATGCAAGAATATGTAAACTCGATGCTGTGATTCAAACCACGGACCCCACAATTGCAAGGCAGAAGTGCTTAACACTGAGCCCCTGTGCTGCAACCTTTCATTTGGATTATAATAGAACAGAGAATGGTTAAACTCCTGAAGAGGCTTTTGGGTGCCTGTGTCCCATAGGGGCAATTTTTCCTTCCTGTCCTGTCTCAAGACACAACAGGAAGTGGAAGGAGATCCCATCAAAAAAAGTTAAGTCCTTCCTCAGACACTTGTTCATGCTGACTTAACAGTTACTTCATTAACCTAGCAAATTCATATTCTAACAATTTTAAAAGCAGCAACATTCACAGCATCAGGCTAATGGAATATATTCATTCATACTATGTAGCATAGTTTGTAACATAACATAACATAGTTTATCTGAAACATACTCTGAAAAAGGTGCATTAAGATAAATTTTGCAGCAGAATAAACTAAATGTAATGATCTTCCCTACATTCCACTTCATAAATGAATAACATCATTGCATATGGATGCAATACTCCCTCTTACTGCAGATAAGGGTCCGCAGTGTGGGAGAAATGACCTGAAATAGTTGTTTGGAGCAGAGAAGATAAGAAAGAGAGTCTTTCGTGCAGTATGATTACATTTTGCTACAAGAGAAATATCACTTTAAATAAATAGACGACTTTGTCTGGGAGGTCATGTATGGGTTTCAATAGCTCTACAGGATCAGGTGCATTCTTATCTACCATCTCCTCCCCCTAAAAACTAACAAAACCCTCAAGCAATGAATGGCATTTTTAAAGAATACAAAACACAACAGATATCTTGGGGAATGTTTCTAAATCTTTAAATCCTTCTGTGTAATGATTAACTTTTATGGCGGCTACTCTTAACTTGAAGATGAAAGGAAAGAATGGGGAGCATATGGAGAGACTTGAATGATTTTGGCAAGGAAACAAACGGTTAGCGATTTGGCACAGGGGCAAACTTTTCCTTCTTAAACCTTAAAGCCAGCTTAAAAAATATAATAGGAGTTCACCTAAACTATAATATCTTGACATCGAAAATCATTTGGTGTAGGAAAGAAGCTCTAGAGTGAAAACTTTCTGGGATGAAATTGCAATGGTTAAATGCATGTCAAGCCAAAATTTCCAATTTTGGATAGAATGGGAAAGGATTAGAATTCCTGTCGGGTTTTTACCGCTAACTTGGGCTGCGTTATGACCTTAGATATAACCTCACTTCCTGTCCTGAAAGAGATAAAAAGAAACAGCTCCTTCCCCTTTTATGATACCATTCATTAAAACAGACTCAAATCTTCAGTCCAGATAACATCAGCAAACAATCCCATAATCAATAACCCAACTAAAGAACAAAGAAGACGAAGAGACCCCTCGTCCCTAACTTTGTAATAAAGTAAGCACTGAAAAAGGGGGTTTAACCCTTGAAACGCGTAAGCAATTGTCCACCATCACATGCTGAAGGGTCTCTTCGTCTTCTTTTTTCCGTACTTGGGTTATTGATTACGGGATTGTTTGCTGATGTTATCTGCACTGAACATAAGAGCAGAATGGACGTCTGATGTATGCACTCTGTTTTAAGAAATAGTTTAATCTGAGGGGAAGGCGCTGTTTCTTTTATCTCTTTTCATGTACTGGAGGAGTTCCATATCCATGTCTGAACAGCTGCCCTCCATGGTGTAAATGCATGTTAATGAAGATACCCTTTAAGATCTATGGTGGCCGCCATCAGCGCTGAGTTTGTGGTTTAAGGCTACAGTCACTTCCTGCACTGCTAACAATAATTCCAATAGACAGGAAGTGAAGAAAAATCTGCTAGAGGAACATAGAAATAAAAAGCTACCTACTTTACTAAGGAAAAACATTTTAATTTCTTTCTGTGTTCCTATTAGTTCCTGCTGGTGAAATGTTGCCAGGAGGACAGAAAGAGAGGGTAAATCTCTCAAACGGAGCCCTGGACAGCAGTAAAAACTAAACAGTGGTACTAACCCTTCCCTACTCTATACAAAACAAAAAAGGTTTTGGCTAAATATACATTTTAACTTCCATGAGATAGACCTGCAATCAATCTTTGCATACAATAGCTTGTGTTATACAATAGGTTGGACTTGATGGACATGTGTCTTTATTCAACCTCAAATACTATGTAACTATGTAACTATATATTCATGCATGCTTTCCCTGGATCAGTATAGAAATCACTTATTAAACTGACAGAACACTGACCCACGGCAGAACACTGACCAAGGGCAGAACACTGGCCCATGGCAGAATTAGCCCAAGGCAGAACAAGATTGTCTTTAGACAATATTTGCTTATCCCAGAGTTCAGTTGTAATCACCATAAAGAAAGCATGTATACAGTATATTGCATCTCTTCTGCTATTCATATGGCATGTCCTAGTAGGATGTACATTTTTGAAGCATTTTGCAGGTGTTCAGCTTCAGGCGTTTCTCTGTTTGGCCCAATGGAAAACAATAGCATCTGTGACATCATGCAAAAATGCCAGAAAAACGTTCCCAAAATGCTTGCTTTAAAGCATTTCCATTGAAGTCTATGGTGACAAAAATGCTTAAAGCTGCCTGAAAAGAAGCTCATGTATTTTTTGCTAGGCACATTGCTGCAAGTTCTAGAATGCTCAGGTGTGAACGGGGGCCATAGAAAACAATGTATTTACTTATTTATTATTGTTATTTATATAGTGCTGACAATTTATGCGACGTTTTACATTGTGCACAGTCACATCAGTCCCTGCCCTCAAGGAGCTTACAATCTAAGGTCTTGTCTTTGTATCTTGTGTTTTGCATTTGCAACAAGTACATGAATAAATAGACGTACTGGATTTGCTTTGGAGTGCCAGTGTCCATCTATTACTTATACTTTGACGGAAGCCGCCCGTTGACACCTGCTGCACCCACTTCTTATCTCATGGAGCAGCGGTTCTGAGTGCTATGGGTACATGGACTGTGTCCTTACATTGTGCACATTCACATCAGTCCCTGCCCTCAAGGAGCTTACAATCGAAGGTCTCTAGTACACATGCATACATACAGGGCCAATTTAGACAGGAGCCAATTAACCTACCAACATGTCTTTGGAGTGTGGGAGGAGACCCCCGCAAGCATAGGGAGAACATGCAAACTCCTTGCAGATAGTGACCTGGGTGGGACCCCTAGCGACCCGGGAAATAGGGACCACCCAGTGCTGCAAGGCAGAAGCGCTAACCACTATGCCGACCATATGGGATTCATTGTGTTGAGTATTTTTAACTTTGATCTAAGAGTAACAAAACTTCTAGGTGTGAATGGGGCATGATACTGGCTTTTGAAAATAACCAATGCAATAATGAAGATGGATGAGAGGTGTGGCATAAAGGTTTAGCTAAATATTGGACTTTTTACAGAGTTCTATACATGAGGCTATAAAAGGAAGATGATAGAGATACAGAGGGATTTTTTCCAAAAGAAGGACCCCCTCTCCAAATGAAGGATAGTTGGGAGCTACATTGTGCATTCCTGCCTTGTACTCTGAGTAAATACATGTAGAAATACATTTTTTACTTGTCGAAGCCTGTAAATCAGTTTAGGTAATAGAACAGTCAGAAAGATGACTTCCATATTTTTTGGTTCATCATTGCAGCATCCTGAGTCACCTTGACCCCTAGCTTACACATTGGGCAAACAAGCATGATCAACACTCTTCAAGGTGACACAGGCAATTGTTAATTTGAAATCGTGGCAGTGTACAGTGGTAAAATTAAACAGAGCTAGATATTCTTTGGCAGGTACAGTTGACATAATAAATATTTCAACTGCTCTACGTTTCTGCAAAAGCCCTTATAAAGCAGCAGGCCAAAACATCTAGTTATACCAATCTAATGTTCTTCTGATTTAATCACAATCATAA